CGTTCTTGTTTATATGACGCTGTCTGTAAAGACGACATAACATGTGATAATTTGACGATCAAAATTAAACTTTCTCGCTTAGTGGGAGCTGGAGTCCAGCTGGGTCCACTCGGCACGGCGGCCACTGATTGGCCTGTTGTACCTGCCCCGGGTGATTATGATGATGGAGAATTTGGTGGAATGGAGATTGGCAGGGGAAATCGAAGTACTCGGAGAAAACCTGCCCCAGCACCACTTTGTCCACCACAAATCCCACTTGACCACACCCGGGATCGAAACCGGGCAGCCGCAGTGGGAAGCCAGCGGCTAACCGCTTCAGCTATGGCGCGGCCTCTTAATTAGATGAAAGTAGACAATGAATTGAAAGTGACGTTGAAGGAAGAGTCTGTGGCGGTATTTAAGGCTTTATCCTGGTACTTGCCTGGAGAGACTGGGGAAAAGCTCGAAGAAGCTCGGTTACAGAAGTCAGTGTGGCAGCCCGAGAGTCGAACAGGACATCACCCGAATGCAAGGCAGAAGCGATACCGCTTCAGTTAACTTTCTCGATATTGGCTGTTGAAAACATCGTTGAGGCCACGTTATGCCTTGAGTAGCTCGCCTTAACTCCATGGCTTTAGTCCGCAAGCGAACTATACCGACCGAGCGACCACCGCTTGTCGGCGAAGTTAGTGCCAGGTTTAGAGGATAGAGGGTGTCACGTGGTCAGCTCAACGAATCCCCACGGCCGTGAATTTCGGTTTTCTAGACCGGAAGAAATTTTCCAGAGTGTAGAACGAGATCTCCAGGTATGGGGATTTTGGTTCACACTGAATGCTGAAAATATAATCTAGTGACTTTCTAATGATGTGGGACTGTCTGATGATTATAGCCTCCAAGATCTTCTAGACACGCTATAGGGGGCTCTTGATTTATGAAGTAATATTGTATCAACTGAATAAGTTATTCATTACCAGGGCCAGGATTTTGATGACCTGAAAATATTTAAAAAATGACCGAAAAAATCCATAAAAATTACCCAAAAATATAATATGCAGGGCCCGGATTTTGATGACCTGAAAATATTAAAAAAATGACAGAAAAAATTCAGAAAAATGACCTAAAGGAGAAAAGAAAGAACACTTCGCTTCTATGTTATTCACATTTCAGAAAACATATGAAGAAAAAATCCCTAAAACGGCCAAAAATGACAAGAAATTACCTTAAAAGTCCCAAAATTTACCAAAAAATTACCCCCCAAATGGAAAAAAGACCTTAAACCTAAAAATGTCAAAAAATGACAGAAAATTACCTATAAAATTTACATTTCTGTAACCAGCAGCTCATATCCCTCATAGCCCTCTAGTACTTTCACTTCCGCATTTCTGATCTCAGACCCTAACTAAATATTTCCTCTAACGTACAAAGGTAGACATTTTGTAGCTTGTCCTTTAAAATTTGACGTTTCGGTATCCATATATTCCATTCTTTTATGTACTGAATGTTCAGTGACACGAAAATACTACGTAAAATTATATTACGTCTTGCTGCAAGAGAGAGGATACAGAAGTAGCAACTGAGTGACGCGGATTGGTGCAATTCTAACCACGTGTCAGTCAGTCATTGCTACTGCGCACTTGAATAAGGCGCCTTCTTGTTTGACTCCAAGCGTAGGAGGCTGATAAGTTAAGTACCGCGCCCTCGTTAGGGCTCTCGACACTTGAGATTCTCCGGTTGTGAAAGGCTAGTGTTTGGTAATTGGCACCTCCTTGCCAGCAAGGTGAACGAGAACCTGTTTGGAGCGCCGTTATTAGTGGGGGGAGGGGGCCCAAGGACACTATCCTTCCGAGTTTCAGCCCCCCCCCCCCAAACTGATCACGAAAGACTGCAGCATCCGCTGACAAAACCTTCGCAGTTGTATTGTTCTCATATTTAGATGAGTTTTGCTGAGACGCGACAGCTCAGTCGGTATAGTTACAGGCTACGGGATGGGGTTCGAGTCCCGGCAGGAACAAGATATTTTTTCCGCAGCTTCCAGCCCTGCTCTGGGGCCCATCCAGCTTCCTCTCCAATGGTTAAAGGGGGTGGGGTAAAGCGGCACGGGCGTGAAACTGACCTCTCACCTCCATACAGTTACCGAGTTCAAGAATCGTGGAGCTATACCTTCACTCCCCCACACGTCTTCATGACATAGTGCTTAACTAAGCATAGGCATAGTGCTTAACTAAGCATAGGCACAACTTTACCTTTTCCTTGAGCAAGAATACTCTTCGGGACATTTAGCTGGACTGAGGAAAGCCACGAAGTACGGCAGCTAGGATAGTCGGTCTCCCAGCCGAGAAGCGAACCGAGCACTTACAGGATAGTACTCTAGAGCGTAACCGCTACTCCACACTGCTAAGTTTCCAAGGTTAAGAATGCATGGAGCCATGCCTCTACTGCCACTCCCCCACCAATATCTCTTCGTGGTATGGTGCTTAATTAGGCACGTGGGAATTTTTACCTCTGCAGAGGAGGAAGTGTACATTGATAAAGGGTCATGCTGTTTGTGAGATAAGACTGAATATTTCTGTGAACGCTAACAACCGACATGCTGTGTTTTCCCACTACTGAACTGGAAGCTTGCGTCACTCCCTCAGTGGATATTTCCACTATTTTCTTGTGCAACGGCATGACTTAATTGTCTTGTTATGAAGTTTCCATCTTTGAATATTCCTGTATTCATTATGAAATGTAAGTGTAGTACCGTTTAATGCTAAGTGCATATTTCTGGGTCAAACACATTCATTTGTTCAAGATAAGTACTGTAATGTCTATATATAGGAGATCCTTGCTTTTCATTCGTCAGTTAGTTTGAAAAGCGGCTTCTGGAATGAGGAACCCTCTGGTCAGTTGGTTTGTCAAGTTGTGCGTGCAGTCAATCCCTCGGATCTTCCAGTCGGTTTACCCGGTAGAATTGACTACAATTTTAGTATTACTCTTGAACTGTTCACGTGGAGCACGAACAGTATATTCAAACATGGCCGTTACTTTGTAAGACCTGAGGTTTTCAAGGCGAGAACTATTAAGAATTCCGTCTTTTGGAATGTGGCGTCGTGTAGATATTGTTTCGCCTCCATCTTCAGGGTATAAAATTCCGCGAGCAAGGAACACTTAAGATGGAGGCGATACGTTTCTCCGAAACGTCGGCGCAACATCTCAGAAAACGGAGTTCTTCATGGTCGTTATTTAGTGCGTTTTCCATCTTCGTTGTCATATTTTCAGACACAGCGATGAGGAAGCTGCAGGTTTTCCATTATCATTTGTAAGAAAATAAATTTTCCTACTTATTTGTAGATTTTTCACGACGTTGACAGTAACCAAACTCGGCGTCGAATAGTGACATGACCAGTGAACGATGAATTGGGAAGAATCTGTAAGGAAGCAGTCGTGGACTAACCGAGGTAGTTTCGCAGCGTTTGTCTGGAGGGACTGAGGAAAACTCAATAGCGGTGACCCAGCCGGGATTCGAACCGAGCATGTCTCGATATCGGGTCTATAGTAACCCACCAGTATCAGAATCACTGAAACGTGGTTCAAACTGCAGCTTCTTTAGTGTTCGTTGTTAAAGTTTGGTGTTGACACAGCGTTTTGTTGATCTCTCTAGCCCTCGAGCTAATGTTGTGGAAGGAATTTGGCATTTAGCACTTCCGTTTGCGTTTACTTCTGCCCCACTGAGGTTAGGCATGATTTGCTCAACAAATTATGAAAGTGACAGGTATGGCATGATGTCAGGTAGTCTGGTACAGAGGCACCAGTACCTTGGAGGAACCTTCTGCCCCCATCTTCCAGAGCTGACTCTGAAGGCCTGTTTGGCTCTGTGAAAACCTCAAATCTGAAAATGTTTTATTTTTGGTTTTGAACTTACATTGTTTGTGCTCACTGATGAATACATTTGCCTCATCTTTATGAGCCCATCTGAATAAGAACTGTTCCTCCTGTACACTTGGTGGCTGAAACAGTTCCTTCTGCCTCCTGTACACTTGGTGGCTGAAACAGTTCCTTCTGCCTCCTGTACACTTGGTGGCTGAAACAGTTCTTCTTTCTGAAAAAGCTGAATGCAGAAGACAATGTTAAAATAAAATAGTCATGTCTTTGTAGCATAACATGTTGAGGAATATTTAGACTTCGATTAGGCTCATGGGCACCAGGGGGGGGGGAACTACAAGCTATGTAAAATGCTTATGAAATATTTGAAGATTATCATGCCGTGGTTACTTTTGTTGTGCACACATGTTGTGGATCTGGTGTATGTTTTTTTGGTGAGTTGGTTTCTTTCCTTTGTACTGTGTGTAGCAAAATGCAAAATACAGCCCTGTAACAGCAGAGCAGCAGTTTTCATCTGTAGGCTTATAGGCACACCTGACGATGGCCAATTAGGCCGAAACATGTAGTGTAAAGTAAATAAATAACAAGAAGAGACAAAGAACATTCAAAGTGTCAGTTTTAGTGTATGGACGAAGTTGCACAGAGTTTGTGAAGTGACAGGGCCAAAATTGGAACACACAGTGCAGAAGTACAATATCTGCACCCTTCTTGGATTTTTGCTAAAGAATAAATAAAAAGGAAGTGAAGGAAGAAATGTACCAAATATTAATACAAAAATTATATTTTAAAAATATGTTATTCTTCTGTCTTAAATGCTTTTAAAGGACTCAATGAATATAGTCTTTAAAGGCACAAATTTAAGGTTGTAACCAGATTTTATGGCTGCCACCCCCTTGGAAAATATCCTGGATGTATTCAAAAGTTAGGCAATATGTGATTCAAATCAGTTCATCTAGCTAGGGGTTGAAGCATTACAAGGTAGTGTTGAGTAATATCAATAAATATGAGTACATGCACCCACACAATCATGAACATGATTATCTACCATCAGAAGCCAAATTTGTTTCATGTTTCTTTAAACAATAGAGGACATTTCATTTTGAGAAATATCTGTGTGATACGTGTTTGGGTTTTGAAAACGTGTCTTTTCTTTTCAGGCAACCAGTTTACGTCCAATTGTGACAGAATATGATCCTAAGAAGAGGGCTGCAAGGACTGAACTTGCAGATATGGTGTTAACAAAGTAAGTGCTGCCAACAGAGTGGACAAATTACAGTGTTCAAATGGAAGAAAAATAGAAGAATACAGTCTGAAAGATCTAAGTTAACCATTTATGCACTATGGTTTGTGAAACCCAATTCTTCTTTCAAAATTTAAATGGAACAGAATGTATGTGGTTTGTATATAATATGAAATTATAGCAACATATTCTAAAATAGTTACTCGAGATTTTGCTAACTTTTCCCTCTTATAAAGCTTATTAGTATAAAATGAAGATTGTGATTCTAAATTCCAAAAATTCATGCAAATGACTCTCTCATTGCTATGAGAATACATGTTTACCTTGCCGTTGACTTGCAATGGACACTGTTGTTGTCATGCAACTGCCTCAAACAATTCCTTACCTAGGAATTGCTAGCTGTTGACCAGCAATGGACGCTGGTTGTAACACACTGTCTTGGCAATGCATTACCTAGGAAGTGACTCTTTGTGCAGTGGGTTCACGTCACAGTACATAAAACAATGTAACTTTTTCATTTTCTTGTGATGGACATAAGAGAGATCTCACTGTCCTCCTGCCAAAATGTACAGTTGCCATGGGTGTTATAGCAATGTGCCAGTTTTGCAGTAGAGTTTTTGGATGCTATTGGAATCCTTGTTTATAATAATTTCTTTGACTACATGAGTAAACTTCACTTTCTTATTTCGAAAGCTATTCCTTCTTTAAAGTTTTAGCTACTGTATATTGTGATATTGCCAAGTAAATCAGCCATGTCTGGTGCAGAATGGGCAATTCAGCTCACTTCTTATAGAAAAAGTAGTCTTGTCTCTTCATATTAACAAACTGCACTGAAACATTTTACAAGATCATTCTATTGAGAAAAGTGTAAACAAGGTAAATAATAAAAGTGGTCATATATCATTAGGACAAGAAACATGAACACACTGTGTCAGGGAACCATTGGAAATGTTGATATTTTATTGAGGTATTATGCATATTATTGATATAAATTAATTGTAGGTATAAGTGTGAGAAAAATGGAGTTCCCATCACGGCTGTTGCTGGATCAACAACGCCCTTGGTTGAGAAACCAGCCCTCGATGAAGAGGCAGGTTACAACCCATTTGAACATCGCAACCTGACGCACCCCACAAGGTGAGTTATGACGTGATCATTCACTCCATATATAATTTGAAACTACTTCTTTGTCATGTACATAAGTAAGCTTGCAGTTTGCATGAAGAGTTTTCCTCCCAACAGAGTAAGTAAATAAGGAAATACGTGGAGTAAATTCTTGTCTGGCAATAAGGTCATACCGAATTTAGACCTCAAAACTTGGGAGTAGTGCAGACCATATTCTCATTAACTATTTGTGGTAGTGCACGACAGCACAATAATGGCATGGTTTTTTGGAGAGTGGATCTGTCTGTTCCCTGACCTGGTCCATATGAAATTCAGTAGTGCTTTGGCATATAAGTTACACAATGCATACTGCTGATACCAAGCAAAACATGAGTGTTTTTACTGAATCAAAAAGGAGAAGAAAAGGAAAAGTTTCTTACATATTCCTGTGGTTTTAGTGATCTGTCAAGCACACTACAAACCAGAGTGGAGCAATGCCCATTGGAACCACAAATTAATTGTCCTCAACATGAAAAACTGGTTTGTTAAAATTGAAATTGCAAATATGCACCATTAAAGTTTAATTTTACATGTTAGCTTCTTGGTCATAAACGCTTAAACTAACATAAAACTGAATTTGTAATTAAATTTGTTAGAATGAAATCTAACTTAAAAGTCAGTCTTAATCTGAATATAGGTTGCCTTTACAGTGAACTCTCAATAATTGGTAATAGTGGGGGGGGGGGGAGTAGCAGGAACAGTTGAAAATAAAGAAATAATGCAAACATCTGGAAAGAACCCCTATGCATGCTACATTTGGATCTGAGAATCCTGCTACTGGTAACTGAAAAGTGAGACAGATATTTTTCCCATAGAATAAGACAACTCTAATTCAGGCAGGGTGAAAGGAATAAAATAATAAAACTGAAATTTTGAACATGGTGAGATGTACAGTCTATTTCAAATCGTTGAAAAACATCACTGATTTATGTAGATTCTAAAGGGTTCTGATGATGGTGTATAACATCTTGTAGAGATCTATTTAAGAGACTACAGATCTTAACTTTTCCTTGTGAATATATATATTCATTAATAAACTTCATTACATATAATGAAGAACATTTTCAGATGAATGCGGATGTACACAGTGTTAACACAAGACACAAACACTGTCTTCATAAACCAATTGCTAACCTCTCATGCTTTCAGAAAAGCGCATATTATGATGGGATCAACATTTTTAATAACTGCCATGTGATCTCAAAGGTCTTATGAATGAAAAGGCATGATTCAAAATAGCACTGAAACGATACTTAAATACACATTCATTCTACTCTGTTGATGCATACATATTGTCTAGAAAATAACTTATGTATCTTTAAATGGCCTTGTGTGTAGTCACTGTGTATTCTTGGTTTCTCTTGTGTCACAACTCCATTGGGACTGTACATATGTTTTGTATTTACATGACATATTCCACATCCTACAGTCATTTTGACTAACTTTGGATCCATGTAATGCAATGTAATTCAGAATTACTGATACATATAAAATGAGTAACTATGGGAAGCTATAGACAATAAATAATGGGTTCTAAAAGTCTTACGTTTAATCTTCAGAACAGATAATCGGCACTCTAATAATCAGTAGTCTACTGTATGTCATACTTACATATAATTAAATGTTGCATCACCTTCTCTCTTTACAGTGATATGGACACTTTAATCCATCTACTTAAAGGTAGCTTAGGATCTGGAATTTTGGCCATGCCAATGGCCTTCATGAATGCTGGTCTGGCGTTCGGTGTGGTGGCTACCTTTGCAATTGGATTCATCTGTACATATTGTGTACATATTCTGGTAAGTATAGTGTCAAAGACATTTATCTGAATAAATGACCAAGAGCCTCCCTGTTTTTATAGGGTAAATACATTTGCCCATCATATAATATATATTGTAAGCTTTATAGACTACATCCTGTTGTGTGTATAATATTTGATTTTTATTTCTATTATAACTGTCAACAGAACACAATGAGTGGTATGTAAGTAAATATCTTCAATGGAGATAGTAGATATTTGTAATAAAATCTACTGTCTCCATTGAAGGTATTTCCATACCACTTGTTGTGCTGTGTTGATGGTTATATTGTTTTCCTAGTCATTATGGAGTTGGCGACATGTTCCAGCATAAACTTATCATATTCATATTGGTTCCAGAAATCCACATTTTGCAATACAGCCTCCAGATATAGAACAAGTCAAATTATTTGTATAAAAGTCAGCAATACTATAATATTTAACTACATACACAAATTGTGTACATGTCCAACATACCATATAAAACAAAATAAAAAGTTTAAGACAACATAAATTCCCCAACAGAGTAACCAATTCAATCCATTTCACATCAGTCAGTCAACCAATCCATTCTTCCTTCCTCGTCAAATCACTGTCATAGGAAAACGTTCCATACACATTAAACATACAATAGTTCAATTTCTATAATTAAAAATAAAAACCCCCCTTTCACAAACATACCATCTTTAATTTAACATATATTCCTCTACAGAATAAAACTTATGTTGTACCAAATATGACTTCATTACTTTTTTAAACTGTCTCATTTTTTCTATCTAATTTTATTTGGTATTTTATTGTATAATTTTATTCCCATGTTCTAGCCCACAATTGCCTGAACACATTCGTGAGTTTTATGTAATTAGGAGGTCTGCATCTAGCAATATAATGCAGTACCTCAGTGGATCCAGTGATGTGTCCATTATAACCTTCTGTATACAGTACATAGAAAAACTTTTGTAAGCATGGGCTTTATCACTGTCATTTGTGTAATTTTGGGTTACCATAGCAACACGTTATAGACTGTTAACATGCTGCATAAACTTAAGTTATGTAGTAGGTCAAAAGGAACTAGGCAGTCATTTGTTTCAGTGTACTAACAATACTTTGATGTAGATATGTAAAGTGTTGTGTACTAAATAAAGGAGACTATCATAGATTATTTGTGTGTGTTATTCATGGGGATTGCATTTAATATTGGGCTCGATGCATCATTTGAAAACATGCAAGTCTCTAAAGGAGTACAGCTGAAAGCAAGGGACGCTAATAGTTTGAAAACTTATGCAGCAAATAGTGAGACATTCTACTGAATGCTTAAGGGCGTTACATTGATTACACTTTAAAACTCTTCTTATATATAAAATGACTACAAATTAAAGAGTTAATTAATTATTAATGAAACTCATGCACAGAATTAGCATGTGTGCAAGTAACTTGACATAAAGCATTGTGGTATTACTTTTGATTAAGCTGTTGAACTATTGTTCGTTTATTCGTGGATTTACCAGTGAAAGATTTTTTGTTTATGTGCGTGTTGGTTATGTTGTGGGTATAACAAATGATGTTGGCTGGATTATATGTATATGTTATATGCTGCCTGGTTATTGATGTGTACCGGGAAGTACCCCATTTAAGATTGATTATTAGTGATAATTATTTTCCATATTTTTAGGTCAAATGTTCGCATGTAATATGCAGACGGATACAAGTTCCATCGCTAGGGTTTGCAGAATTGGCTGAGGCAGCTTTCCTAGCAGGGCCGCAGGCGGTACATAAATTTTCAGGATTGGCAAGGTAAGTCCATTAATACGTACACTCTGATAATCTGATATCTCCCTGCAGATTGTTGATCCATGTGAGTCTAATCTGAGAGTTACCGTCACATTGTTGATCAATTTGTATCCAATTTGAGAGCTTCCTGCACATTGTTGATCCACATTAGTCAAATTTGGGAGCTTCCTGCACATTGTTGATCTGCGTGTCTCCAATTTGGGAGCTTCCTGCAAATTGTTGATCCACATGAATCCAATTTGGGAGCTTCCTGCACATTGTTGATCCACATTAGTCAAATTTGGGAGCTTCCTGCACATTGTTGATCTGCGTGTCTCCAATTTGGGAGCTTCCTGCAAATTGTTGATCCACATGAATCCAATTTGGGAGCTTCCTGCAAATTGTTGATCCACATTAGTCAAATTTGGGAGCTTCCTGCAAATTATTGATCTGGTCTCCTCTAGTTCTGTGATGTGTGTGGTTTACACCTTTTTAACAGTTTAAAATACATTTTTGTTTTCGTTCTGTTCAAACATCCCCCATGCTGTTACATAGCATTCTTTTGACGGGCTTTCACCCAATCTTCAGAAGAAACAGAACATACTGTAATAAAGCTGCATTTATTATGCAGCCCAGCCAAGTGTATTTTGTCATTTCACTCGTAAATTAATTTCACTTTAAATATTCACTGCCATAGAAATCTGAGGTCTTTGTACAAGAATTTTATAAACAGTTCAGAAGTCCAGACTGCCAATATAAGACTTCTTAAAATGTTCAGGTAAGTCTTTCACAGAAAACACTGATTAATAAATTTGTTTTTGTTTGCAGGGCGCTGATAAACTTGTTCCTTGTTGTGGATCTGTTAGGCTGCTGTTGTGTGTACATAGTATTTGTTGCAACAAACATTAAACAGGTGAGAAGCTGGAAATTGTACATTATTATGAATGTGTAGTGTGTGAACCTTGAGCCTGTGAACACAGAACGTGTAATCTTGGTATAGTTATAAGGTTCCCATTCTTCTGTACTTGGCCTGTTTTTGACTACTCAAATAAACTGTAGACATATGTGGTAGAGTCATTAAGTTCGTGGATTGTGGTTTTATCACATCATATTACAAGGTACTCACATACACTTGCACAGATCCACATCGGCCCTCAAAATAGTTGCCATTGGCCGCTATGCAAGCCTGCCAACGTTGATATAGCTGTCAAAAACATTGCTGAGACATATTGGAAGCAAATCTCCGTACGACGCTTTGCGGCCATTCCACCAACTTATTGACTGTTGTAGTATATATCCTGTCACTTTATTTCATATTATTTTATTCTGGGCTATAATTCTCATAACCTGGAGCTGAAATATGAAGGAACACTGTTCCCAGTATACCATAGGTGTTTAGGTTATGGTCCTTTGTGCTATTGCATCATGTAGTCTTGAAGGTGGGTACCAACATATTGGTGGTTACAGGTTCTTCTAAATTGGTGGTGCTTAATTTGCCAGCCTTCAGGGCATCACATACCAGATAACCATAGCTTTTCACTTTTGTTTCAATAATGAGAGAATGATTCAAGGAAAATTTTATCTAAAAATAATAATTTATTTTATAATGTCGCATCCTGCTTGTTTACACTTAACAAATGAATGTTGCATACTGTCATACAAACCTTATTTCTACAGATGTAGTCACTACATGTTTCTGCAGTAAATAAATATCATTAAAATTGTACAGAAAGTGTACAGAAGTTTGAATTTTTAAGTGTTAATCCATCCTGGGGTTGACTCAGCCTCTAACAGAAAGGGCAGCCAGCACATTAGGCTGACAACCTCACCTCCATCTGTGAGCTGATTGTCTAGAAAATGAGTCTTGATGTCCCACAACCCTATGGGCCTCCACCGCCTGTTACAGGGACAGCTTTACTTTTTTTTCATTGTTATTATGTCCAGTCAGTGATTCAAGTGGCATCCATCCTGAACTGTGTAAATTGAATACTGATATTAAACAGATATTAAAATGATGTAGTGCAGCAAGATCAATGGTGTTTATTGAGATCTACTGAGATACATACATAGCCATTGTTATTTTAATACCGCTGATAGTGTCTGTTTTTATGTACTTAATTTTTTTGTAAATATTTAATTCCCTTAATGTCCAATTTTATGCGATTCAAGTTAGAGCTGGCTTGAAACACCAATTTGGCATAATTACATTTACAGATTTGTGTTCATCAACAGTTTTGTGGTTTTTGTATAATTTGTGTGTGTACCTGCCTGACAATGGCCATTTAGTGACTGAAACTTCACGTGATGACTGCATCGGCAAAACTGAAGCCTGTGGAAGGGTGTAAAGTATTCCCTAACCATCCTTCATTATGATATGAAGGCAGAGCCGGTACCCCTGTATGTAGCACAGGTTAGGTTCAGTACAAAATATGGATTGTGCAGCTATGGCTGTAAATTTACCAGCTGTAAGACTGAACCAACTCTGTTACCAATGTGTAACTCTGCTTACAGGTTGTGGATCATTATGCAGATAGTAAGATAGACTTAAGGCTCTACATGGTAATGCTGGCATTACCACTCGTTCTTCTCAACATGATCCGTAATCTGAAGTGGCTTGCACCATTCTCCATGATCGCCAACTTGCTTATGGCAACTGGTGTTGGCATCACTTTTTACTATGTGTTTATCGATCTTCCAAGTATTGATCACAGGCCTAATTTCACTTCGCTTCATCAGCTTCCACTCTTCTTTGGAACAGCCATCTTCGCATTGGAAGGAATTGGAGTGGTAAGAAAACAAACAAACCTACTGGCTGACTAACTCTATGAAGCAAGCGGCCTCCGTAGTCTAGAGGTAATGTTCCCACCTCATGACTCGTAGTACGCGGGATCAAACCCAGCGGAGGTTGTGGAATTTTTAAGAGCGGAAAAATTCGGGGAACAAGTCCTCTGGGAGGGACTTTAAGCCGTGGGTCCCATGTCGTAGCTTTACGGCATGTAAAAGAAACTCATATCTCCTAAGGAGATCACTGAGCCAAATTGAAGGACATTTCCCGCCCAACAGTAGTCTCTAACGCCTCTGATAGATGGGGGAAGCATTATAGATACCGCTAAGCCAGTAGAGGCCGAACTCGCTGGCTTGGTTGGGACTGATATTAAGCAGAAGGATCAGTAGGGTATAGAGACTGGTAGAATATCATAGAGGGAAGCACAATGGACCAGTACTGGTCTAAGTGCATGGGGAAACCCACCCTCTCCAATAACTACCTAACTAACTAACTAACTAACTCTATGAAGCACAGTATACACAATATGCTAATTTATTTAGGTTAATTTTTTCTCAGCAGAATGTAGAATAACAACATGGCTACCATGTAAAAGTTTTCTATGCTTTCGGTTTGAAGGCAGTAAATAATGAAGAATTTGAGATGACTGTCCACATTCTTGATGTCATTAGCAACAGTATTCATATCTTTGTTACACCTTTGTCCATTTATGGATAAGAATGTATGGTGGATGCAGATTGGCTACTGACAATTGGAATCAATCTTTGTACAGGTGATGCCTTTGGAAAACAACATGAAGACCCCATCCCATTTCATTGGCTGCCCTGGAGTTCTTAACATTGGAATGGCTATAGTAGTGATGCTGTACACTGGAGTAGGCTTCTTTGGTTTCCTTCAGTATGGTGATGACACAAAAGGAAGCATAACTCTTAACCTTCCTGTCACTGAAGTGTGAGTGTTGTTGATTTACTGTTGCTTAATCAGCCAACGATTTTGCTTATTGTTAAGTAGAACCTACAGATTTATGGTTTTCCTTTTTCATATTCAGTAACCCCCATCATTGAGCTCTGTTCCAAATGTTCTACATTGTTATTGACCAGCAACAGAAATACTTGTTAGTCTGTGTGTGTGTAAGTGCTATGGTCACTAGTAATACAAGTACCTGCACTAATAAATGGCACAGCTGCAACCTATGCACATACTTGCTTAGACAGGTTAGTAAATGAGGAACCACACATAATGCAAATAATTGTGTAATCAGTGCGTTAGTACGTGGTACAACCACAAGTAATGCAAATATTTGCATAGTCATGGTATGACTACAAGTAATGCAAATACTTGCTTACTCAGTGCATTTCTAAGTGGGATAACCTTTCACATTTACACAGAGAGGTACAGTCATTTCTTTATGGCATTGTTACAGACTGTTCATAGAATAAGATGCCAGCTAATGGATGACTTTTTCTGATAAGATGGCAGTATGCTGCTGCATGGATTAAGTACCTGACGAAAACTGAATCATCTAACATTCTAGCAACAAGTATTATGTTTTTGGACATTATCCATCATTCTGTCTATTTTCTAAAAAACTGTCCTGTTTATTTTTCAAAACAACGTTTCGGAGACTGGATTCTCTCTGTCCTGGTTAGAAGTACAGACTTGCGCATGTCTGTTCATGTGACCACTCAGCTATGGGCGTTCATTGGGTTTGTGGCATCAACCATAGTTAGTTACAGTGCCGAAAAATAGTTATGGGTATCTTGAGCAGGACAGTGCACTGTTAAACATAATCAAAATTCATTGATGAATATGGGATCTTTTCAGTAAAGAATAGTCAGTAGAGGACTGTGGCAGTCACATTGCTCGAATCTGGATATGTATGGCTTATATTTATGGTGAAACTTGAAGCAAAATATCTCAGGATATTCTAGAAATCACAGATGACCTACAGTGCCTCATGTTAGAGGGAAATGTGCTCAGATACTGGACACCATTTTCAGCAGTTGTAATATCAAGTAGTGTCCTTGCTGAAAAAAATATATTTCAAGCATAAAACACGACACCTCATTAGATCCACATGGCATGTCTTGGAGTCTTATCGGAAAGAAGCCCTCTACTAGCTATCATCCTACTCTGTGGATTGCACCAATAAAGACGCAAGGAAAGAAATGAGCATCTCTGTATATACTCGTATTTTAATGTGTGTCAGTGGAACACAAGCACCAAAACATGTCACTACAATTTAATATGGTCTGAAAACTACATTAATGTAGTAAGTAAGTAAAGGTATCCCTGTAACAGGTTGTGGAGGCTCATAGGGTTGTGAGATGTTGAGGTTCCCACATTTTCTAGACAATCGGCTCATAGATGGTAGTAAGGTTGTCAGCCTTCCACCCTGGCCGCCCTTTACGCCCAGGAAGATTCCTGGTACTCATTTCTGTTAGAGGCTGAGTCAACCCCAGGGCCACAATGCGGCTGGAAGGATTAGATCAATTGAAAAAATCCACATCATCGGGATTCAATCCTGCGACCTTCCATCTTGTAGCACAGTGCTTCAACCAACTACGCTACTGCATGCCCCCACATTAATGTAGACAGAAGAATAATCATATTTCGCACAGAGAGAGAACATAATGATATGCTAAAATTAAAGTGGCAGAGGGTCAGCGTACCAGTGTGGCATGGCAGTAGTGACAGAGTTATAATTCATTTGTACATTTTGCAGTGAGACTGGTTACTCATTAATTTGGAATGTTGACTGCACTGACTGTGTATTAATGACAGAGTGTGGGTGTAACACAAGTGAGATGTCCATGTTCATGTTTCAGCCTGGCACAGTCTGTCAAGGTGATGATTGCAGTTGCCATCTTCCTTACATATGGACTGCAGTTCTATGTACCAATGGAAATCATTTGGAAGTCCATTGGTCATAGGTTTGGAGCACACAAAATTGCAGCAGAGTATGTTGTCAGGGCCCTTCTTGTAATTGCAACAGGTGAGTGTCAGTTGTTGAGCCTACCTACTTTCTTGCTGTGAGTTAGTTTCATTTTTAGGGCATCAAACTGTTCAGTAGGAAAAGTGTAAGGATTTTCTTCCTTCTTTGCTAGCATCACTTTCCAGTTTCATATGGCTTGATGAATGAGAAGTGTCCAATATGTTCCTCTCTTGTTACAGTCTTCCCATTGCAGTTTCTTGTTATTCCTTTTTCCTTTCTTGATGTCTTTCAGTGCATTTGAATTGTCTTCCTTGTTGAAGGGGATCATCGCATAGGAATGTTTCTCTCTAAATTTGGATTCTAAAGCCCTTCTAAGTATCACTGTTTTATCCAGTCATTTTACATGACAAAACCATTGTAACAGTATATGTTCTATCTATATTAACAAATTTTGAACCTAAAACTTCTTTTATAAGAATTTAATTTCTATCTATTCCTTCTTGTTCTGGCTGAATATTTCTAAAAATTTCATATTCATTACTTGCATGTTCTTTTTATTTCTCTTTATAAGGCCCATGTTTTGAAATTATATGTTAATATTGGTTTAAAATGCACTTTGTGGTCAATGTTTTGCAATGTTTTGGGATCTCTGTGTTCTGTAATATTTCTTTTATAATTTGATAAAATTCAGAACTTTTATATTGTTTTGTGATATAAATTATTATAAGTCTTTCAGTCATGTTTCATTACACCCAGCCCAAGTATGGTCACAAAATAATGTAGAAACAGATTATATGATTGTGAGAGGACATACTTTGGGAGTCTGAATCCCTCTGTCAGTATAATGACTAGCCATGGACTGGATTACCATTGGGACCCAATCTCTGACAGGGGCAAAAGAGATTTTCTTCTGTAGAGCATCCAGACTGGCCCTGAGGCCCACCCTCCTTTCTATTCAATGGGAGCCAGGGACTCCATCTTGGGAGAAAACAAGGTGGAACATGAAGCTGACCATTAGCCTCCATCCAGTGTTGATGTTAAGAATGCATGGAGCCTTATTTCCACTTCTCCTTATGTCTTCATGGTCTGGTGCTTGATTAGGCACAAGGACCAGCATAATGTGACAATGAACCTAGCCTGTGGCACTTGATTTTAGGGGCAGCACATTTTATAAACCTTGAAAATTAATGTATGTTACTTCTATGTTCATATCATGATCATTAATTGGCAGTCATCTATACGTGTTATGTACAAATATAATTAAGTTGTTTTCAGAATCATGACACTGACGGCAGTATTTATCAGTGTCTGAAAATGTAAATGTAAAGTTGTCCCAGGCCGGTCACGGTAGCCGAGCGGTCTAAGGCATGTACTGTCTTCTCTCGCTTGGAAACTGAGATTGTGGGTTCGAATCCCACTCAGGGCATGGATGTTTAGTTTGTGTGTGTGCGTTTTTCTGTGTTTGTGTACAGGTAGAGGCCTTGTGACGAGCTGATCACCCGCCCAAGGAGTCCTACCAAATGTGTAACATCAAGAAAAACCGAAGTGAACGGAGAAGTTCATGGAGGTAGGCCTAGGCCCACTGGGGCTGTAGTGCCAAGGGGAAAAAAAAAGTTGTCCCTGTGCTTGACTAATTGAGCACTATGCCATTAAGGTGTATGGAGGGAGTGGATGTATAGACCCACATTTTCTTGACCTCAGTGCTATTTGGAGGTGAGTGGTCAGCTTCACCTCCTGGCATCTTTGCCTATGGAGAAAGAGCACCTGGTACCGATTGGATAGGAGGCTGCGTGGGCCCCAGAGCCTGTGTGGATGCTGTGGAAAAGAGAAAATTCTTGACCCTATTGGGACTCGAGTTCTGAACCCTTGGTCATCCAGCCCGTAGGCAGTTGCTATAATGACTATGCTATCCCAGCTTCTAATGTCAATATAGTGTCAATAATTGTGGTGGAGTTTTTATTAAAGGGGAGAATTGAAATTTCTTCTCACCTGGGGGAACATTTGTGTTTGCATCAGCCGTGGCTCCTACTGGCCTCTGACCCTTTGCCCATTCACTATGCATCTGAAGCATTCAGAGATGTTGCTCGCTTGACCAATGTACTTTGAAATACAATCTGATAATGAATGAAATGAACTAATGTTTTTGTAAATATTTTTAACAAGTATTAACGTCTGTCAACAGTGGCCATAGCAGTAGCAATACCACAGTTGGGCCCATTCATTTCGTTAGTGGGTGCGGTCTGTTTGTCCACTCTCGGCCTCATGTTCCCAGCCATCATCGAACTTGTTACATATTGGGAATCACCAGGCATGGGGTCATGCTATTGGCGACTGTGGAAGAACTTCTTCATAATCCTGTTTGGAATCCTGGGCTTTATCACAGGAACAATAACAAGTATTGAAGAGATTGTAGCAGAATTTGGGGGCACTGAATGAATTGCAGCAGCGAAAGAGAAGAGAAGAGATGCAACAGAAAGGAGTAGTCCTGGAAGTCTGCTAAGCCACTGCTTTCTAGTTTAACTGGTTGCATGTGTAGGGCTTTCAGTTCGGCATGCAGGACTGTGGTATTCTGCATAGACTCAGGTTTTGCCTGCCAAATGGATCTGCTGACTAGTGTGTCCAGAACTTAGTAACATCATTACAACATGAATTTAACTAAAGATATGGCATGCCTAACTGATTAAAGATTTTAGAGATTGAAATCTGATGGTGAAGTTCATTTAAATCTTGTTGACATGAGTTAGAGCACTCAGTAGTATTGTTATCTAAAGGAATACACCTGAGATGTGAGAGAAAGTATCCTCGTCAAGCGAAGTAGACATTTTAAGAAAGATTAATACAAATTTGGAAGAAGATTGGAAGCCTTCCATTACCCTAGCAGTCTTTATTTCTCTCTTCGGTTATTGACGGTAAGAACAAATTTATCTATATATTTATATTTAAGAATGTGTGTTCCTTTAGACACGGTTTTTTATGGACTTCTCTGTATACACTTTCTGAACATTCTTAAATAGTTTGGACATAGAGTATGTGTTCCTTTGGAACGATGTTCTAATGTGAATGTAGTTTTCCATATGAACTTTCTGAACACACCTGCTTAGTGTGGTGTGAGTCTTCAGAGACTAGTTCCATGTGCTACTTGAATGAACTAGTGTTCATCATGTAAATAATACATGCCCTTGCCTTGTAGTGCTAAGTTTTAGTTAGCAAGGTTTCATCACTGACTACAGCAAGGTAATGCTTTGATTCGCTACAAAGTAGTGGTGAAGAAGATGCGGTTATGGTATTTCCTTGCTTCTCACAAGGATGATCCCAATCATAGCCATTTAGTGAGGATTTTTTCTCAGTGGTCAAGTTCCTGCATTGAGAACTAGCAGTTGTGTTGTCATAAAGGAGGCAGTGGTGCTAACTGAGGTAAGGTATGACCACACTTGAGTTACTTGTATGTTTAAAATGACGATAGAAATTCTGATTACAAAATTACAGTATCTACTGGTAATGTCCATTGTTTAACTATTATAAGTGGGTTATTTTTTGTAATAGAATTCTATACCATGATTGAATTAATTGTTTTATAAATGAAACAAGAATGTTGCCAAACTCAAAATAGTTATGTTCCTTATATTGCCTATAAGTGCCATTTTTATTCTGTAGAAAAAGCAAATATTGTGTACATGAGCACAGATGGCATAGCGATTTCATTGTAAGACAGATATTTAATCCCCACTTAAGTGGTTTATGTACCCCATGTTAACAACAAGATGCTCAGTGTGGAATACACGTGTGTACAATGTACATTACATTGTGAGGAAGCTGGATATATATTGTTATTTTTGTGATGTTAGTGTCAACAGTTCTGTCTTTAGTACTATTAAAGTTTTAAGCATAAAATTGTTCATGAATTAGAGGGAGGGAATTTACAAAAAAATATCTGATGTTGATTGTGTCAGAGATGTGCTACCAGCATCCCGAATCTTTTACTAATAACAGAATTCACTGTATATGTATTTAATTTTAGAATGAAACACAGATGTAATTTTTAATTTTATTAATTGTTTGCTTTTAAATTTAATTTGTGCTTCTTTATTACCTTATGTACATTAAAAAAGTCCATTTATTAGAATTTCTTATGTGCTGAAAATGGTGGGATGCTAAAAAATAAGCGGCATGTATTTCTTTGTTAATTTCTCAGTTCTCTCTCTTCCTTGAACAAATGAAAGAAGCTGGAATCTGTTCAAACAGTATGAGCATGTCTTTCCTCTTTGACTTGAGCAAATGTAAACCTAACCTAACAATGTAACCAAATCAAACCTAACCTGACCTTACCTACCCTAATTGAAGCTAACATAATAAAACAGTTATGGTTCATGTCCAGATGTTCAGCATATGTTAATTTTTTTATGTGCAGCTGTGCAAATAAAATGACCTTGAATGCGATCTTGGGCCCAGTGAACCAGTCACCCTAATTTACTCCCAACTCATATATGTGCCTACATATACTCTGACGGGCAATATGGATGCCTTTGATCAGATCCTTAATTATATCACTGTTCTGTATCCCCCTGAAGTTGTTTTACTATACATTATTAATGATATTGCTATAAAAAGAAAATATTTCTTCTTTCCAACATTTATATTATTTTAAGCATGTAAGAAATTCTAGGGAAGGGTTTAAGTTTTTTGGAGTACCGTGGATAATGAAAAAACTAGAGGCTTTATTTAATTATATCATGCTTGCATGTGAACAGTTTTATGTAATGCCAAATATACGACATGCTGCAAGATTCAGTGTTTCTGAAATTACAATGTAATTAACAATTGCTATAACAGGGGACCAGACCACCAAACACTAAACCCATCTCCGTGCTGTATAACTTCCTTAGTTGGTACAGCATCATAAAATAATAAGATGAAAAAAGAAACATTAGTTGCAAATATATGTAACTTGGTACAGTTTTTTCTCTTGTTGAAACCTCCGAAAGTTATTAATATTTTTGCTTGGATTTGTTAATTAACCTTACCTTGAATATAACCTAGTGCAGCCTGTAATATTGTAATACAGGACACCAATTCAGCATTGCAGTCTGAATCATTTGATAGCCCATGCAGTGTACTGTTATGAGGATATGAAGTTGTATGTTTTACTGTATTCATCTACACATCAAAATTAGTAATAGCTGTAATTTCAGTAATTTCTTTTGTAAACTGAGGCTGTGAGTAACAGATTCAGTGTATGTATATGTGTGTGTATGCATGTTCAGTATCAACACATCTGTGGGACTGATGTTGATTGATGGGAAAGATGCCCCATGGATGGTGGGGATGATAGAGCTTGAGGGTTCTCCCCCTCTTTCTGCTGTTTTACTCCCCTCCAGCCTATGTTATGCAGCTCAAAGTTGCTTATTAATAGCAATTATTACCATGATTATCACTACCAACATTCCAGTGAACAGAATGGCTGGGTGACAGCAGGGTTTTGTCCAATGAAGGGGAGGAATCCAGGAAGTGTCCTCACAAACCTATGTTTAAGCCCTATATGCAAGATAGAATACATTTAAAAAGTAATGTAATTTTTTATATGCACGCAGTAGCGTAGTTGGTTGAGGGGCTATGCTACAAGCTGGAAGATCGCGGGCTCAAGTCCCGATGAGGTCATTGGATTTTTTTCAGTTGACCTAATCCTTCCAGCCACACTAGGCCCTAGGGTTTACTCAGCCTCTAACAGAAATGAGTATCAGGAATTAATTAAATAATTTTCCTGGGGAGTAAAGTGTGGCCGGCGCGTAAGGCTGACAACCTTACTGCCATCTTTGAGCCGATTGTCTAGATAGTGTGGGACCCTCAACATCTCACAACCCTATGAGCCTTCACGGCCTGGTACAGGAATAGCTAAAAAAAATATTCAGTAGGTTTCCTCTTCTTTTCAATTTTGATTTTTCCAAAAAAAGAATCAAGTGGGTGGAGGAAGAAAATATCTGGTTTGCCTCTGCCTTGCTGCTGCCAAAGGAGTGGAATATAGGGAAGTATACTGGAGGGGGTAGCGTAAGTGTTCGAGGAATGAATCCATGTGACTTCTTTCTTTGACCTCAGCACAGCAGCAAGACCTGGGTGTTTGGATGTGGAACATATGTTGCTTGTTGTGTTTGGTCACACAGGAATGTACCTGGAATGATTTGAAACATGTGGTTATTTATTTTATACAAACATGTTGACATAATATTCTGTTGGTGGGCCACTCTTGGAGCTGGGCTAGGAATTGCATTCTATTCTAACAAGTTTACAGATACAAAAATACAGTATGCTATGTCTGTAGGTGGTTATAACCGGAGGATGCTGAGAATTGATTGATATGACCGTAAAAGATAGTGTGAGATAATGTGGTTGTTACAGTAGTGAATATAAGAAGAAGGTCTTCTGGAATGTGATGCCATATAGTTTGATAGACATGTACCAGTGCTTCAGAGGGACTAGCCTCCTCCATGTTCTAATCTGGTGATGGACTCAGCAGTTTTCTCCAAAATGTCGGTCCCCATCTACCAACCTACATGATGTCACATTTCAGAACACGGTGATCTTAAGTAGAAGACAATATTTAGACATTTCTCCACTTTTGATTTTAGAGATTACAGAAACAAAGACATGAACAAATTACAATGAACAAGTTTAATTGTTGGTGGTTATCTGTACAATATTTGTATATCTTATAAAGTAAAAATATGTAATATGCTCTTGATGCCATCTTGCTGAAGGAGCAGAATGCTGTTGGCCATTTGTCAGTATGGAAAAGTGGGAGTTCAGATTTGGCCATTGTGTCTTATGGTGAGAAATACATTTGATGCAACAGAATGACATGCTCAGGAGAGTAGACGTTGTTTGTAATAATTAGTGCAGTCAGCATGAATGCTGTGTTTGACATACAATCAGCCAGTTCAACCCTTTCTGTACTGAATGTTTCTATTGGCCAATTCAGAATGAATAATTGTGAAAGGGTATGTATGTATTAATGGGTATTCCAGTAACTTGAAATTTCATCACAAAGTTTTACACCACATTAGTGATAACAGTTGTACATGTTTATTTGTAAAAAAACTGAAACCGAACTATAGAAGGTTTTTTAGATATGTATTTTTAAAAACAGAACTGAAAGCCGGACCATTTCAAAATAGAACAAGGGGCATAACTTTTTAAAATAAAAACCGTAGCCTAACCAGGTGGTTTTGTTGTTGGGGGAAAATTATTAGGTTAGACTTGTGGTTGTATTTTTGCAGTAAGGTTGGCAGCACTAACACAGTGAACATCACAGTGATAAATTTTAAGTTAGCTGCACATACATAAGTACCTACATATGCACCTCTATAACCTGACATAATTTATTTTAACATAACCTAACATAATTTAATATGTTAAAGAACATACCCATACATTTATAGCCCAGAAAGTGTTAATGAAAGAATGAACATATTCCACACAGAAACCACTACACTTGTCATGACATTCTCCTTAAATAAATAAAAAAGCCGAAGTTAATGCATAATTTGATGTGATATGTTCCTACTTGCTCAATATATGATTCTAACCTATTCTGAATTTGTGTAGAACTAACCAGAATCAACACTTGACTTTTGTATTCTTTCATTTGATCATATCAACAGACACAAGTTTAATTATTGATTCTATAGAACAGTGTTTCACAGAACAATTAATCTTCCCATCACTCAATTCCTTTCCAATAACATACTGATATTTATGTTATGAGACATGTTTTCACTCTTATTTTGGAACAATTGTAAGGGATCATGAACAGAAAGTGACCCCCATTTTCAGATACCATGTGGGGAGAAGTGTGTGGAGTGTCATGTGTCATAACAGTAGCAAAAAGGGACCTATTGTGAGCTGTGGTTATAAGGTTAGACAAATTTTATGACCTAATTACTAATTCCTTATAATCAAGTCAGTATGGTATCATTGCAAGTTTTGGTATGTGTAGAAATTACTATTTGATCCATGAAGAAGGAATTGGCATGTTTCTTTGAAATGTTGGTACCAGTCTACTAAACTAAATGGCATCACATTTCACAGGACTGTAATCTTAATATTCATCACTGTGGAAACTTAATGCTTACCAAAATAAATATGTATTGGATAGCTGTGAAGGGAAGGGACTAGCACTGACAGGGACACTGATGGAAACTAATATGAAATGATGCCAAGCAGAATAAAAAGTTATAATTAAAATTATGGGAACTGGATATCTTGACTGAAGCTTTTTGTCATTTTCAGTCACAGGCAAATACTTTTACAGAACCTTGAAGCCAGATTTCTCATTGCTTTTCACTCTTTTGCTGACCATAATCTTTTTTACAGCTCGATCAGCACCTCATAGTTTCGTCATATATGGTTAAGTAAAATATGAATCAGTCTATAAGAGTTCTGGCATTTACAAAGTATGCAGCAATCCATGTCTCCTAATGCCTTAGTGCTCTTACGCTGTTCATTGTTTATGGCTACTGTATATTTGATCAGAATCTTGGAGTGCCTGTGTAAATTCCTGGTCTCCAAGGTGGTCTGACCTGTGTACAGCAGCAACAGGTGTCTTGAAAGGGATGTCACAAAAGATGGCTGCCCATCACAGTCCCATAAAGTCAATGGTGGTTCTTGCTCACTGTGGAATCACAAAATTCCAAATAATTGTTTAACGAAGTCACGTGTTGTGAGTTTTATATTGAAGTTAATCTTTTACTGTTAAGAATGAAATATCAAGGAATGGAATCTTCATTTTTATACTGAAAAGGTTAAATAGTTATAAATGTAGGATCCCAGAATTAATCAGTTTCGGCATGCAAATTTTGCATTAATGTAGCTAATATGAATTTTTCTGAATTTAATTATCTAGTTAAGACTGATCAGTAATGAAATTATTTATCTAAAACAAAAAGATAGTGGTTGTTATCAGCTAAAATAAATGACCTTACATTTTTCCCATTAAAAGTCAGTGCTACCAAAGGAGTGATTGGGGGAAGCCTCTGAGTCATGTGATATCTGGCCGTTAACTGCCCTTGGGAACATAAAACTTATTTCATCAGTTGGGCCATGACTGTATTAACAACTATAAATTAGTCTATACTGCAGAAATATTGAATTAATCAATAATTTTTCTTTTATTACTGGGTATATCTGATCAGTTAAGTGAAGCGGTGAAGGATAGTCCCAAGGAACTAGAAAAACTTTTAGCTTGATTTAGGCAATTAGAAATTGTATGTCAGGGTGACTGACATCTTCATAAAAGTATCATATTTGCTTACCACTTTGCTGCACCTCACCTATTTATCAGTCTAATTCGTATTTTGTCTTTAATAAATTCACTGACAAGATCATAATACAGATTTTTAAATGCTAATAACACCCCCATTGCCATACTGTTGTTTGTATATCCTGAG